GTAGGGAAGAGAGTAAGAGTGTTCTAATGCATTCTGCGCCCACGTCCAAGGGAAGGTGCAGCATTAAATCTAGGACAGGGGGAGCAGAAGTGACTACTTGGTACTGTTTCTAAGCTCTAGGGATATAGTAGTGCCCCGAACAGACAAGGATCCCTGTACTTATGGAGTTTATATTCTGCTGGGGGCAGATAGGAGATGTGAAAATTATGAGTTAATATATGTGAAAGCACCTAGCATGGGCTTGGCACATAGAAAGTACTTATGTCTTTCTCCCAGCCTTGTCCTCAACTGCGCCTTTGAAGCTTCCCTGAAGGCTTCTGAACACATAAATAAAGCTGGAACCCCATCTGGCTGAAAAAGTCAACCATCTGGAGATTTGGAAATATGGGGGAATTTCTAATGACTGGCTAATTTTTTTTTCAGTTTTTCAGCCAGATGTTTGATGTCGTCCAGGCCCATCTGTAGCAGAAATAGCAGTTTATTGAACCTCTTTTTCATAATTTTAAGTTCCCTGTCCTAAAATCCTAAGTGGGCTTTCTTTTCTTAGTAGGCAATTTTTTAATAAATTGAATAAGTGATTATTGACTAATAAAGAGCAACTCAGGAATCAAAAATGAAAATGTCAGAAATTTGGATTTAAAGGGGCTTTTAGATAATTTCCAGGGCTCAAAATGCAGCCCATGGGTCAAATAAGCCGTAAAGTGAGTTTGGCTTGGCTGGCACTGCATGTTTAAAAAGTTAAACGAGTTGCCCACATTTTAAAAATCAGGAGATTTAACATCTAGCTTTTTAAAATTTGGAATATTGGGCCAAGTTTGGTATACATTTCCCCAGAGTAAAGATCGACTCAAGCTACATAGTAATTGTTTCCAATGTGCCACAGTCCGCACCACTCTGTGTTGCCCACACACTGAGACCAAGTTTCAGTTACCTTATATCTTCTCAAACACACTCTTACTCCTTCCCTCACCCCAATATAACTGAGGTAAGAGGACTGCGAAATGTTTGTTTCACACTTTACATTACCTGCCAAGTCCACAGGGACCTTTGGATTTGTTACTTCCTAATCTTATCTGAAGCTCTCATTTTAGAACTGGGTAAACTGAGGTCCAAAGGAGGAGATAACGTACACAATTCACATAACTATCAGTGACAGAAATGTGATTAGCACCCAGGGTTCCTTGCTACTAGGCCAGTGGTCTTTCCATGATCTAAACACATCACTTTGATTATAACTAGGACTTCAAGAGGTTTCTTAATGAGAGAATCACATATTGAACATGTTCTCATTCAAATTCACACACCACCATTGAAAGCACGCAGCAGGTAGGGGCACTGCTTTGTGAATGCCTTGTGTGCTTTCCAGCTAATGAGTCAGGCATTCATTCTGGCTTCTCATTGTGGGTGTCTCTACATAGGTCGATTGTTTTTTCATTCAAAGAGTGTCCTTTGCTGCCTCTGAGTTTTTGCCTGTCCGGTGGTTCCTGCCTCCCTGCAGAGGCTGCACGGGCATGCTGAGTGTTCTGGGATCTGGGGCTTCTGAATGGAAAAACCCATGTGTCAGGGTATTCTCACAAGCTAATATTTGTACCAGTAGCAACCTATCCACTAGAGCATGAATTAATGCTCCCTAGCAAGTGCTCAGTGAAGCAACATGTCTTAGGGGAAGTGGTGTCTGCTGAGTTTAGGTATATGACCTTGGGCAAGTTATATAACTTCCCCTGGCCTCAGTTTTCTCATCTGTAAAATGAGGCTATTACTTTTATCTGCATCATTGAACGCCTTTGAAGATGAAAGTTATTTTTTCAAAATTCTTAGCACAATCCAAGTGCTAAATATAAATGACTTTCTGGTGAGTTATAGAAATGAAAACTGGAAATATCTCTTCTCTCACTTGAGAGACGTGATCCTTCCTAATACACACGGTCATTCCCAGACCCATTGTAAATACTCGGCATGTGTTGGCTTTAATATTGTAATTGCTTGGAGGAGTTTTAGAAAATTAAGATTCCAAGTGATCCACCACAGACCCATGGAGGCAAAGAACCTAGTTGTGGGGGCCTGATAATCTTTTTTTTTAAATCTCCCCATATGATTCTGTTGACTAGTTAAGACTGGAAACAACTGATGTAGTTTTCTTATACTTGAATATCTTTGGTGGTAGACAACTCATAACTTCTGAAAGCTCCCCATGCCATATTAGATAGTTACTTATATTGAGGTAAACCTGTTTTCTTCTAGCTCCTACTTCTAACCCCTTGAGGCCACGTAGAACATTTTGAATCTTTTTTCCATATGACAGCCCTTCAGATATTTGCAGACAGCTGTCTTGTCCCTCTGGAGCATTCTCTTCTTTTGTATGAAATAGCCACATTTTCTCATGACCCTTAAAAAAGTATGGATGCCCGCCCCCCCCCCGCCCCAGTTATCCTTTAACACTTAAAGGACCAGAAAAATGAGGATGCTAAGGCTTTGGGAGACAGGACATACTGAGCAGGAGATGGCTGTACACCTTCATTCCAGCAGAGGATGGATGCTGCCTATTGCATGTGTCTTCCCATGCAGAAAGCAGAGGTTCCTGCAAATTCCTTGAACACTTGATATGTTCATTACATGAAGGAAAATCTTGGCTTCAGATTTCAGCCAGGCCTATCTAGGTGTTGAGTATATGGGTGTACACATAACTAAAATTTTATTGTGATTCGTTAAAGTTTACGCATCTTACTGTATTAATACTTCGAAATGTAAAAAAAAAAAAAAAAAAAAATAGCTGGGCCAAATTGCATGGAGACTGCAGGAAATTTTCTCAGAAGAATTCACCTGACCAAGAACATATGTTAGATTAATCTAATTTCTTCTTGATTCAAATTCTCACTTCTCCCACTAAGCCCACAGAATACCTGGGTGGGGTTCCAATTCCTTGTACAAACTGTGGGTGTAGGAGATGATGTTGGAGAAAAGAGAAACCATCAGTTGAGAAATTCTGAGCAAGGATTCAGGAATTTCAGGCCCTAAGAGGGGAGGTCAAAATTGGTGATTAGTTTTGAATTCCCAGGTTTAGGTCAAGGGGGCAGAAGAATTGGAAATAACTGACACTTGGTCTACGTATGTGCCATTTCTGGATTGGGAGGCACCTCAGATTTTTTATGCCAACCCTGGAACCACGTAAGCATCAAAACATCCACCAAATCTCAACTTTATAAAAGGTGACTCAATTCTTTATTGTTAACATAGGAAAGGGAATTATGATATTTCCTTAAGGTAAATGACTTCACCATATCTGAGCACAAATAATCACAGATATTAGGTTTTTGTCAATGTTTAGGAAAGAATTTCCATCAGTACCTTGTATACAATAAGAGCTTTGCATAGTGCTAATTCATGACCACCTATTCCAAGTTAATTATTTACCAGACTAATATATTGAGGGTTGGATGGGTAAATGTCTTAGCCAAGGTCACACAGATAGTTTGCAGCATTACCCAGGTCTTCAGACATCAAATACAGTAATCCTTGTTGCATTTAAAGTAGTCCTTTCCTACCTGGGCTTCCCACCAGTTGCAAATTTGTGATGGAAAGAGAATCAACTCTAGTAGTGCTACAGTCAGGAGAGCAGTTGTTCAGAGTGTCAGAACATGGGAGGAAGGCCAGGCAATGATGCAACATTACACTAGCAAGTGATGTAATAGCATGATTTCCTAAGCAATTTACATGAATGCAACTTCTCAAGAAGCCCTGGCGAATGCCAGCCAGTAGGAAGGCAGGCACGGGGAACCAATGGCAGGCAGGGGAGGAAAGCACATAGGAAGCACAGGTTTCTTTGCTCATCACTATGACAAGCTTCACAGATTCCTCAGAAGCCTGAGAAAACTCCCTTCTGCCCCTCTAATCCAGTGCCTTCCCTCAGGCACATAGGCTCTAAAAGATTCGGTTTCCTTCTCTATTTTTCTGTTTGCTCCTACTAACATCCAGGCATTGCCCAAGGATGCTGAGAGTGACTCCTGGTGTACTGGAAGCAAGTTTAGTAGTGAGACAGGCTGCCTAAGAGTTTGACATTCTAAAACTGGTCTGTCCTCTTCATTATAATTTAGAATGAACCCTCAAGTTTTTGAATGAGAAGTGGTATGCTGTGATTCTTGGAGAATCAATCTTATGCAAATGTCATAGAAATATATTTGTTGGGTTTGCAGATGCTTTAGGAAAGAAGACAGGTGGACACCAAATACCAAGACTTCAGTTTTGTTTTTTGATCCCAAATGGAGATGTATTAATAAGTTTTCTTAAAATGTGTGTGTGGGGTGTGTGTGTGTGTGTGTGTGTGTGTGTGTGTGTGTGTGTGTGTTTAGAGGTTCATATATGTTAGTCTGGAACTTGTTGGCAATGGAAGTTCATGAAAATATCTAGTTAGACCAAACTCAGAAGAAACTGATAAGACTATGTTGAGAAATAAGGAAATAGCGCAGAGTGTGCCAGGCTAAGTCAGAATCTCTCTCTCTCTCTCTCTCTCTCTCTCTCTCTCTCTCTCTCT